TAATGCAGCTTGAAGGTATTTCTCATTCTTTAAACATCAGCAAGACCCACGCTAACCTCAGCAATATGTGGACATATTTTACCCCTATCTCACTTCCACTAATTCATTACTATGAGGAACACAGTAAACAGAGTAAAGACTAATGTCTCACGTCCATCGGTGCTGACTTGAAACTGTCCTATTGGGGACAAATGCTGAGGAAAATGAATACTTACATTGCCTATATGTGCATACGCATTGACTACTCCACAGTAATTGAGTGGCAGGGACCCACAAGCCAAAGGCACATCTTTGGTGGAGCATCTAACCAGCAGGGGAACACCATGTTAGCAGTTAAGAGCGCTAATAGAGTACTTGGAGATAAAATGTACCAGCACATTATGCAAATGCCACCACCAAGCTGTTAGTCTTTGCTAACTAGTTACACGGAGAAAAAAACCCATCGAAACTGCAAGCAAAACATTGAATGTCAATCTTACAAAGTTCAGATAGTTTGATTAGCAGCAGCTCTAGGCTAACTTTCACTCCTCTCAAAACTATAGGGATTTCAGGTAGCTACTGTAGACACTGCATGTACACCAACCATTGCCATCTGAATCAAAATATTCCTTATGAAAAAAGAAATTGCCAGGTGATAGGATCCACCTAAAGTTCATGCACCAAGTCCTACACATACAAATCTAGTTAAAAACTGAAGAATCGAGAAGTGTCATCTCATTATGTGTGGGGGCTCCAGAATCATCAGCACTTTTCTTGCTCGAATCTTGAAATGTGGCCCTCCTCAATTTTCCTTGTGAGCAGTGAAATCCCATAATGTGACGCACTTGATGCAGCATAGTAGGATGTCACTGTGAGTTGAGTGAACTTTGGAAGCACATAGCCTACAAAGTAAGTCCTCAAATAAATGGAGGTCCTCCAAGAATTGAAATATCAGAAAATTTGAACATAAAGTATGAAGATGCACATCAGTCAATTGATTACTCCTACTAATGGAAGGATATGCTTGGAGACAATTGAAGATGCACATCAGTCAATTGATTACTCCTAATAATGGAAGGATATGCTTGGCATTCTCATCTACAATGGAAAAAATGGAAGCCACAACATTAAACGCGAAAAGCCAGAATATGTAGAAAGCCAATCTGTGTCCACCGAAAGCAAGCTTGAATTTCAAAAATGAAAAGATTTCTGCAAACTTTCACACAGATGCACAGAAACATCCACAGTTACAAAAAAAATGTCATCAAAAGTGGTCCTTGCAATTATGCATAATCACCAACCCACGCGATGTTCATTGCAACTATGGATATTTTGATGGGTCGAAGAACTACAGCTAATAATGGGATCAGATTGACCATCAAAGTTGGGAGCATTCAAAGTCACACAGTATAAAGAAACAATGTGCAAACAAGTGATTGAAAAAAATCCATTGAAATGATAAACCCGTGCAAGGGTGTACTAAATAGCATACAAGGCTCCAAAACCAGATATGATATTACAAAATCCAGCCAGCATAACTGATGCTACTATCAGTCATCAAAGCAACCTGTCGTCCTTCCAGCGACCATCATACCCCAGCCCTCCTCTCTCAAGCCCAAACACAGAAAATGGGGCAAATTTTACACTATGGGAGATGAAATGGCTTCCTAGCAGATTGGGCACACTCAGAATAGAAATCTGCTACAAAATAGGAGAGCAGAAGTTCAAGTAGTCTTGGTAGATGGTGGTGCCTAGAAATCATAGCGAACGAAAAAAGCGTTCGTCTCAATAAGAAACAAGGAGAACTTCCCGATTAATGGCCATCTCCAAAAAGGGATCTGAGTAGTCGACGGTGGATATAGGTACTTTGTAGGGTCAAATTAAGGAATGCTACATAAACAATGAAAACTTAAGTTAAAGAGGTTTGATCCTGTACCTCCAAAAGCAGCAGATGCGCCAGAGTACATTAGCAGTGGAGGAACCTGCAAGTAAAGCAAGGAGAAGACGAAAATGAGAATGTTTGCAAATTTCAATACCATATACAAGACGGAAACCCTACCGGCATGCCACCAAAATGAAAGAGAAGTTCAAAGAATACAAGGATCAGGATAAAACACCAACCCCAACTACGAAAGGAAGCCACTTGGGCCCCTTCAGACGATTCTGGAGGAGTGGGATCCCTGAAATAACACGACAGTTAACATAGAGTCCCAAAGATAAAGAAATGAAACCAGCTGAAATAAACAGTACCTGTATTAAGACCATGCACTGCACTAAGCATCGCACCAATGCCAGACCCAGCCTAATTTAACAGTAAATCACAACTCCAATTAGTGACTCCTACCAGAAAAATCACTACCACGTATCTATTAATCACAAAGATTACAATCTAATTCGCCAACCATCTCAATTGTCAGAGACAGGGGGAAACACAGCTCTCATGATCGCAATTGCAGCGAGAATTCGATCCATTGGCGATTTAAAAACGAACGATGCACAAGAGTTTGTCTAATTTAGTAGGATTATCAGAAATGCGTTCCAAGGATCACCAACAAGCAATCAACCAATTCGAACCTAGCTGAATTCACCAGAGTATACACCAATTCACGCCGAAAACTCTCACATAATCAACCAAATCGACAATAGAACTACTCATCCTTTTTTCCAACACCGGTGCCAAGCAGTTCTAAGAACTAAGAATGAGGGGCTGTCGGAGAAACTAACCACGGCGGTGGCGTCGTGCAAAACGGAGGTGATGGTCCATTCGCCCTTATCGGAATCGGCGTCAAGGAGGGACAGGCAGCGAGGGCAGCGTGGGGTGCCGAGGCCAGGGTTGATGGTGGGATCGTGATGCAGATTCCCGTTACGTAGTTTCTCCTCGTAAACCTCTCGGGTTCCCATCTCCGGCAGCGGCGGCGCTTCCTTTCGGTGCTGCTTATTTGCTCGGCTTTGCTTTGCGTTTTGCTGAAGTGACGGGGAGATGGGAAAGCAGATTCTTGGCGATCCGACGCTTTGCCCACGCATGCTTATGTTTGGGCTCGGGCTCGGGCTCGGCCCGGGCTTAGTGTAAGCGAGTGATGACTTGTGAGATTTACTAGGCCCATGGGTTTCAGATCATTAACTAACCATTCCCAGGCTATGTAGCTTGGATCGGATTTCAAAGCATTGACTTCGGGTCGTTTGGAAGTTGCGATTGTTTTGTTGAGATTATTACTATACACGTATTGTTTAGAATGCATAATTTTTTCAATTTTTTAGCAGAAACAATACATGGATTGTTCCTGTGATGTGACAAAAACTATCACTCAAAATGAGTGATTGTTATATCTCAGCTTTTAGCTGTGATTGTTGATATTATTTTATCTCAGCTTTTAGATGATGTGACATACACAACCACACATACCGAACGTTGTATTTTACAATATATCAAATTTGAAAATACCTCTAAAATATTATATATGCATTCACAACAATAAATCTATTTAACAATCGCAACTTCCAAATAACTCCTTAGTTCGGTATTGAAGAAGACTAGGAATTTGATTCTCTCTTTTTTTTTTACTTGACTCTTGTATTTGATGCCTGGGATATACAAAATTTCAGAACATGAGTTCCTAAAGAAAAACTCTGAGTCTATAGCTCGATCTCATGGGAAAACATAAGGAAAGACTCAACTTGATCAAATTGAGGAGCTAGAGTATATAATTTCTCAAGACTTCAATTGGTGAAAATACAAGGCGCGTTCACACGGATATGCAAGGTTATGTCTAGTTTAAATGTGTATAAGAAAGAGTACTTAATGGGAGGCCCCTCAAACGAAAGCCGACTCATGGGCTTGAAGTTTGCACAGGCCCGCCATACCATGTGCTTGAAAGACAACAGTTAATATTGGGGTCGTGAGGACTTGAACACGTGACCTCAAGGACAAACCAGCTCTGATACCATGTCATGAACCAGTTGCTCCCAATAACTCGAGTTGTTGGGAGAAGGTTATGTTGGATCTTATACCACTCTATAACACGCCTGTGTTTGGCTTTCAACTTAAAGACAAAAAATAAAAGTACTACCACGAACTCTAACAGGAAGAGGGTCAGGACTAGAAGGTAGATGGTGGATGGTGGATTTTTAGGAGAACCATCAGAATCATCATCAGGAGGGGAATTCCTGGACTTTGATGGTAGAACATAATCATCATCATCAGTCATGACTGTAATGTAAGGAGTACTGTCATTGTCAATGATTCTAGAAGAAGAATTTGAAGTCATTGAGAAAGGAAAGATAGACTGATGGAAGATCGCATCTTTGGAATGAAAAACTTAATGATTTTCAAGGTCATAAAGTTTGTATCCCTTGATTCTAGATGTGTAGCCTACAAAAATGCATTTACTGACTCTAGATATGAACTTGGTTCTAGTACTTGACAAAGTAAAAGCAAAGCAAAGACTGTCAAACACCTTAAAAAACTCAAGTCTAGGGGTTTGTGGTGAAAGAAAAAATCACATGGTGACAGGTTGTTAAGGACAACAGATGGAGTTCTATTGATGAGGACAACTTCATGTTCGACACAGTGTGACCAGAATACTATAGGCAATTGAGCTTGGAATTTCAATGTTCTTATCACTGCTTGTTGTAAAAAGATTCGGAATGTTACACTTTTATTCTGTGTATCAAAGCTTTTCTCTTCCAATTCAATAAACAAGATCTCTTCCAATTCAATAGTTTGACATGCTCCTTCCACCAAAAACTCGAGTATCCTGTAAAGCCATCGCCTCTATAGTCTATAGTACATCAAAGTATTGTCAATCGATAAGATTATATACTTTTCTTATGTTAAATTTGACCAATATGTCTTATTATCAACATTTTGATCTATGTTTAATACGGTGGACAACTTCATTCCAATTTTATCGGACGTCCCCGAAGGAATGTAGACAAATTCATTTAGAAATGATTAGAGTTGTATAGTACTATAGTATAAGCTCTACCATTTATAAAAGTCGTTTACTCCCTAGAAGCCAATTGTGAAATAACTTTCCCTAAACATAGTCGTGTAGTTAAAATTGCAACAATGGATGGGTCCGTCTAAGTTGGAAACAAGCATTTGGATGATTTGCCATCTATATTAACCTTGACGAGAATATCGTACCTTCCTTCTCGCATGATCAAATCCATTCGATCTCGTCATTTGTTAATGTCAGGCCCAATATGAAACTGTTGGATATAATAATAAAATTAACAGGTACAGAACAACCACTTTCGGCCCAAAAAAGTGTTGGAAAGGAAGCGGGCAGGCCCAGTAGGGCTGAAGCCGACCCAATCGAAACCCTAAACCCGAAAATTAGGGTTTTTATATTTCGCATCCCTCTTTCCGATTCATCTTTCCCAGAGGCCAGCGCCACTCAGTGTTGAGGGGAAAACCAGAAGCGACAGAGCTCCTCCGCCAAGGTAAGACTCGAGCGAGTTAGGAAAGATGCCGGCTGGCCATGGTCTTCGTTCTCGCACTCGAGATTCCTTCTCCAGGCCCTTCAGGAAGAGGGGTTACATCCCCCTGACCACTTACCTTCGTACCTTCAAGGTCGGTGACTACGTCGATGTCAAAGTCAATGGCGCCGTCCACAAGGGTATGCCCCATAAGTTCTACCACGGCCGCACCGGTCGCGTCTGGAACGTCACCAAGCGCGCCGTCGGCGTAGAGATGAACAAGCAGGTAACACGATTTATACTCGAATCTACTCGTAACAGTTCTGATTGCTCTTTGATTGCTATTGTGCTAGTGTTTATCTGAGAAATGTCGGTAGTTCAAGGGGTTTCTTTCTGGGCTGTTCGTGTTTGGTTGGCTTATTTGTAGGGTTTTTCTTGCGATCTAGATTTCTCATCTTCTAGGGTTTTGTCCATGAGCTATTGAGACGTCGCTCGATTAGGTATTTGATTTGTGTTACGTCGATGCGAGAATGACTGTAATAAAGGAACTAACTTGCTCAGGTGTGGATATTGTTTATGTTATTTCTACAGTGAAATATTTTGTAATTGTATCCTTCAAGCTTGTTGGGGGTTGAGGTTTCTCAATTGAGCCAGGACGTTTTGTGTCTTCTATTGTATCAGACGAGACTATAGGAGATGATAGTTCCTTCAATGATTGTAAATTCATCTATTGATCTTTGAGTATGAAAATGTGGGTATTGCTAGACTTGCTTCGTTCACTTGGAATGCTCCATCTTTAATGGTTGTGCTATTGTACTGTAAATCATGTTCATACTGCTTTTCTCTTTTAATTGGAAGACATTTTGTTCTTAGCTCTAATTTGCTAATGGTTGAGAGCCTGACTATGTGCTCTTATCGTTTAGGTTGGGGGCAGGATCATCAGGAAGAGGATCCATGTTAGGATTGAGCATGTGATTCCCTCAAGGTGCACTGAGGAGCTCCGCCTCAGGAAGAAGAAGAATGACGAACTGAAGGCTGCAGCAAAGGCCAGAGGCGAAGTTATCAGCACCAAGAGACAGCCTGAGGGCCCTAAACCCGGCTTCATGGTGGAGGGTGCAACTCTGGAAACCGTTACTCCTATTCCCTACGACGTCACCAACGATCTTAAGGGCGGATATTAGATTCAGTTGTTCCCTAGGGCTCTTTTTCGTGTTTTTGGCTCTTTGTTGTTTGGGTTTATGCAATCTGAAACTTCAATGCACTGCTTGAGAGCCTCTCTTAAATTTATGCAGTCTGTTTTAACTTGTTTCAGTTTTGGATGATACTTCGGTCGATAATGTCTGAGCGAGATTTTGTTTTACAGAAGTTATATGTGCTTCATTGGATTCTTCATTTGCATCATAGTTTAGTGCCCATTCGGTTCAAGGCGTGGAGTTAGCTACAATTTTATATGTTCCCTGTAATGCCTCTGTGAAACCATCTTTTAGGGTTCGTAAAAGCTGCTATTTCCCTCTTGCGTTGATCCCTCTGTACTACGGTGGTAATGGTATGGTTCAATCTTCCATTGTAGGGGTTGCATGGAAAATGAATGAAGTAAAATGAAGCTTGAAATCGAATCGGAATCAGAAAAAAAAGGATTTTTATTTGGTATCAAACCGAATTGTTGCGACAAACCGAATTGTTGTTCACCCTTAACTCTTTCCTCTGTATTGTTTAGCAATCTATGAACGTATACAGAAGTCATGCTTGGAATAGGGAGGTGACATAGACACGTAATTCACACCTTACTATACCTTAGCTAACGGACAAGTTATACTTCAAGCTTTTACCCTTTGCAGTATCGCGTGCTTGTGCATGTCATAAAAACGTCTGGAGAGGAAAGTAAGCCACAATCCAAGCTCAGTTCAATCTATTGCTTCTGGAAACAAAGATGGAGGTTTCATCTGCTGTGACTAGCTCTCTTCTCATCCTGCTGATAATACTCTCAGGTTGGCTCTTCTGTTCTGTCTCCTTCCCCGTATAAATGATTTCGAACAACTTCACTCACCATCGATTTGTTAGTGTGTGTTTAGTGACAGCTGCAGAAGATGGACAGACCTCCGGAACTGCCAATCGGCTGTGGATCACGAGCCGTCGCAATGGTGTGAGGATCCCGGAGCATACATGCCATAGGCGGCTAGAGATGAAGGTGTGTGAGCACAAGAAATGCAGCCAACAGTGTTCTAAACAGACACAATGGGGCGTGGGGAAATGCAAAGACACTAACTACTGTAGTTGCTCTTATTATTGCAACCAGCCCCCAGTTTCACCTTTCACTTCTCCACCCACGGCAGAACACATTAAGGCTCCCCCAAGATAACTGCTTTCGCGTTAGAATCGAAAATAAATCCGAGTCTGACTGCAAATCCATGTTAAAGATCTTAAACTAGCCTAGTTTGTTCGGACGAATCTTTCGAGTCCTGTGATCTCATTGTTTTGTATGTGGGCTTCCATTTTGATTTCTGTTTTTTCTCAGTTCTTGATAGGATCAGAACAAACTGGTTCATCAGCAAAAGACCATTCATATGAAAGGAGGAAAAACAAAGGGAGATCCTGCCAAGTTCATATCTTTATTGTTTGATTTATTTAGTTCTTAAAGTGGGATGATGTTCACAGTCATAATAGGTATGACGACGGAGATAACAAAGAGAGAATCTTCAGGGATCGTGAGGGCAACGGTAGTAGCAAACGCAGTGGAAGATACCATCGAGCGATGAGTGTGCACACTGTCCCCACCCCTTGTGACTTGTGAAGCACTCTGCCTGGCATGCTGGCACATTGCAACTGTCTGGATTCAGCTCTTTCGTGCACTCTCCAATGTATCCTTCTGCATCCCTTGGCGCCACAGCTAGCACTCCAACTGCAAATGGATAAAACAATGGAAACATGTGACGAACAAGTGTGTTGTGATAACTTTTTTCATTTGAAAGAAGATGATTTGATGCGAACCTAAGAGGAGGAGACAAATGCAGAGAACTGATTGCTTGCCATTGCCACAGCGATTGTCAAGCTTTCCCATTTCTGTAGGGGGGAGAAAGATAGCTTGCTAGTGGGGGAATGCAGGATAGGCACAACGAAGTCCTCGGTATATAAGGAGTAGCAGTAGCAGGCCAGAGAGCGAGGGAGTCAACAAACCGATTTAATGCAGAGGTTAGGACAGATCCAATGGGAGCATTGAAATTTCAGAACTTGAGTGTAGCAGTGAAATTATTTCAGAGAGAAGTTAAAGACCCTCAACTAAAACTAGTTGCATGGAATTGACAGAGTTTATAGTCAAGAAGGGTAGAATTCAGCAGTACAGCCATTGAGATTGATAGCAGAGATTTGCACGCATGTAATCTTACTGATTCAACTGTATGCATAGAGGAGACAAATTAGTATTTACTGTTTACACAGAGAGAGGAGACTGCATTTTGTGCTTCCGCCAAGTTAATAAACATTTGGTGGCCTGTGTCATCAAGAGTCATCATAACCGCTAATTTTGTTAGCCGCTTTCTTAGGATCTTGTCTGATTTTCAACTATGCGTCATGCAGAAGCACAATCCCAACCAACTTGGTCTGCTTCCTGTTCTTGGTTTCTAACTTCCCTCCTGCAATCTGGTTGAAAATTGATTGCTTTTGAAGTCTGTTGTTCAACATGAATACATCCAAATGGTTAGCAGTTGCATTCATGAAATGGCAAAAACACTAAAAGGCTGAATCTGGAAACTCGAATTCGGGAAGTACAAGTTCATGGACATGCAGAGATAAACAGAGTCTAAATTCACAATCCAAGGCAAAATGCCATTTGCAAAGTTGTATTTCGTTCTTCAATGCGGCGTAGGAAACAGAACACCCAGACGAAGGACAGACGCACAGAGGAAAAAAAATGTACAAGGAAATCAAGAACAAGGTGAAGTACAAATGCAAGTGAATCGATTTGTGAAAGTCTGAGTGCAAGATCCTGTCCCTTTAAGGCTCATCACAGCCGTGCACTGGCTGCTGCAAGTTTCAGGATCACAGCTTCCGTTCCCAGCCTTTATCACTTGTCGGCACAATTCTTGTGCTTCACCGAACCCATTACTGGCCACCAAAACAAGCATGACAGCAAAGAAGAAACACCAACAAAACCTGCTGTTGCTATTCCCCATCAGGGATCTCTGAAGAGACAAAACTATGAGATTTCAGCCCTGAAGACGGGAGGTTGTTTTCCTATGGTTCCAAAAAGAAATGGAAAAGGGATTGCAAATCAGAATGTCGTTTATATCATGGGTTGGAGGGAGAAAAGTAACGAAGTAGTGTGCAACCTTAGGATGAAAGAAAAGAATCAGTTCAAAAGGAAATAAAGGGGAAGAAAGAACCCAGGTCCCAAAAGTAGGTTCTTTTTCTGCTTTCCAAGTTACTTAGGCACTAATTAAAACATCGTATGAAGTACCAAAGGGGAGACTTCTGATAACTCACAAGTTACACGGTTCTTTTCCTCGCATCATTATACAAAGTATTGGGGGTGTCTTTTTGTACATACAATGCTTGATGCTGCCATGATGCCAGCTTAGGTACTATTCATTCTCATGTATTGAGCAGTTGAGATGCACATATACTTCTGTAGGTTGAACTTTGAGTATCATTCTAATTGCACCTTTGAGCCTTGGTACGCGAATAACTGCACTGCATTTCTGTAACTTGCCTCGGCGACTTCTTCTTTACTCAACTCGAGCAGTGATGCAACGTGATTGAGTACCTATAACAGCAATGACATCAGATTTGTTAGCTGCTTCACAATTTTTTGGTGACAAAACAACCCTTGATTGTAAAATTTCTATCAAGCGGCATACGTGATGAATGTTTGCTGGATGATTAAGTGTTTCTTCTTTCCGGTTTGACGCCTCTTTTGAAGAGTTGGAATTATTTTCATCAGAGAGGCCACCGGATGTAGAGAGATTTTCTTCTTTGGAGTGACTTCTGCCATCAACCGAAAAAAGAGTGTCCACATTTAGAGTTGGGGTAGCATCTGGTGCATCTGTTTCCAACAAAATCCTATCAGAAGGAACCTGCAAGTTCCAAGATGTAGCGACGATCATTTCCGCACTAAAAATAATAAAAAGACTATAATTTCGTAGCTGAACTAACCGCTGCTAGCATTCTCTTTGCCTTCTGTGTTTTCATGGACATGAGAAACCCAGAAAATGAAAAGTAAGCACCGAGCTTGGCAAGTTCTGGAACCATCTCAGCAGAACCCAAGTAGGAATGGAGGATAACGCCAGCAGGAAAAGGCCCCACATTTCTGGGAAATATCGATATACATGATTGTAATATGTTAAGAGTCTGGGAAGAATATAATGACAAAAAAAAGTGAAGATTTTCCTTTCGCATACTTCATTATCTCAAGCAGATCACCGAAGGCACGAACACAGTGAATGGATGCTGGTTTGTTCAGTTCTTTCGCAAGCTGAAGCTGTTTCTGGAATACATCAACCTAAATAGAGTAGGCATCTTTGTTAAAGAAAATTTTCAGAATCAAAATGAATAATCACAAAATGGTTACATCGGAAACCAAAGCACAGAGGCTTTCTGCAAGGGGCCACAAGAAGTTATCAAATCCTAATTACGGAGAATTAAACTACCGGAGTTGCAAGAAAACAGGAACTCATGATACAAACCTGATCTGCAAAATCAATCGTCTTCCCATGTGAACCCTTGTCTATACCAATCTGAGAGCAAAAACAAATAGATTGATGTGTCATTATACCAAATCCCCCAGGTTGAAAGTACACAAATTATGGAAGACAATATGCTCATACAGTTCCACATTTTGTTAAAGACGAATGTTGTACATTTTTTAAGGGTGAAACTGAAAAGATTAGACTACGGAATTAGAGAAGTAACCTCTCCAACTGCAGCTGAGGGAGTGACTTCAAAGAGTTCTTTCAATGTATTAAACCAATTTGGAGTCCTCTCCCTGATGAACCTGCAATCAGATACAAAAAATTGAAGTTGCTGGTTTTCAGTACAAATGTACATTCAAGACAATTTGTTAAATGCAAGAAATGTGCCAAGCACTTTGGCTAGACACCTAACACTGGAAACGAGAAAAGTCTTATTTCGATTTTGTCAGATACAGCTTCCTCTTTCATCTCACCATGCAGAAAATGTTACACTCAGTCGAGTTCCAAACGCCAAGTTCTCAAGGAAACAGAAGAAAGCAACTCAGAAACACAAGAACCACCAACCAAAACTTCAGTAACTCAAAAGGCTTCCAGAATAGAGCAAAAAAAATTTCCTCAATGGTGAATTTCTTATCAAATCAAATCAAAGACACCATGATCAACTTTTCACAGTGAATTGTGGAGAAACCGTGAGAGGTCAAAAGAAGTTAATTGCTCATCTTGTCCCTTAACGACGTAATGAACATTGCTCGTTTCCCTCAGCTTCCTCTACCCAAAATGAGATTCTACACTTCCATCCTAACGAACAGAACCCAGAAGTTGGAATAAGTTAACGTGGAAAGCTAGAGATTCACATACTCACCATGGATGGAGGCCAAAGCAAGGAACAACAGAAGGGTAACGCTCCCCCATCTCTTTCACCAAGCTCCAATCGTTCTGCCACCATTATAATCAATCACAGATTCCCGGAAATTAAGGAACCCCAATTGGAAGAAAAAAAAAGAAGGTTAATTTATCTGTTTCTGTCACTATACAGACCTCGGAAACTCCATTAACTGCAAAGCGGGCAACACCTGTGTCGAGTGCAGTAGCTATGAGCTGGGGAGCTTTGTTCAGGACTCTGGGATCTTGGAGGTGGCAGTGTGCATCGAAAAGCTTCACACTCGACATGTTTATGGCACTTGCTCCTCCCAATTCCGGTCTCCACTCCCACACAGTTTCTCGTTTCGTATTCTGTATCGCCGAGACGACCCTTCAGTGGATTGGGCAGTAAACGGCAAGATTTCTGCAAAGCATGGGGAAGCGAAGCCGGCTATTCTATTCTGCTTTGAAAGCGGCAGAAACGTGGCAATCTGGCCAACGGTGACGCAGGGGAATGAGGGCTCAAACCCTCCGATGGACAATGGCAAGCTAAACTTTTAGCCACTGACAAAGTGGTCACTTATGTTTTAGTTCTTAACAGTACGGTCACCTAACTTCTCTCAGAATATTCCCTTTCTACTAAAAGTCAAACTAGCTACTGACGAAATGATCACTTGTGTTTCAGTACCGTTGCCGACCAGACCACTAGGGATGGCAATTTCGACCTGACCCGTTTTACCCGACCTGTTTTGGGGCGGGTCCGACCCGCCCCATAGGCGGGGCGGGGCGGGCATGGGTACTCTCATAGACCCGACCTGTCATGACCCGCCCCATTCTCGATCCGTTCTTGCCTAAATTACACGTAATTTTAGTCAAATTGTTTAGGATTTTCCTTTTACTAAATCAAATTTTAGCTATAATAAAGTTGTAAATTAGTGAAAACCTCAATTTCTCCAATAATTTAACTATATTTATCATAATATTGTTTGTTTCCATAGTCTTATAATAAATATAACGAACATTTCTAATATTTTTCATATAAATTGCTTACCCATTGGGTCGACCTGCCCCGACCTGTGACCCGTGATAAAATACCCGACCTGCCACGGGGCGGGTCTGGGTACCAAGAAACCCGCCCCGGACCTGCCCCATTGCCATTCCTACAGACCACCACCCACGTCGAAGCTCAGCTAGTGGTTGCTCCAGAGCACATCAAGGTGGTGGTGGTCCATGGTCGTGATCCCGCCAGACTCATCGAGGAGGAGAAGCTCCTGCAGGGCCGACGAAGGTGAGGGTGAGGGAGTCGAAGGCCAATATATGCAGGAAGATGAGGTTCTTTGATTGTTCTCATGATGACTTGTAGCAAGGGTGCTACTATGAAAGATGACTCTGCTCCCATATCAAGGTTCGGTATCGAGGAAGGGTCTCACATTCGTGTGAGGGAGGCTCTGAATGCGAGTCCTCGTTGATCGAGGACTGCCCAAATCATTGGAAATAAGTTGCAATATCAACCATTGTGTTCTAACCATCGATGCTAGAACTCCGAGTTGGACCCAGCTCAGACAGCTACAACACCAATGATACAAGAACAGTAGTTCTCACCAGATTCAGATGAGATTGGTAACAACCCACAAGATGATTCCCATTTACTCTTCAATAGCGGTTGGTGGAGGATAACGATGCCTCTTCCCATGAATCATATGCTTCAGCGTACCTGCTTTCCCCGCGTAGCATCACTCAAAGGGCATCCAAATCGAATATTCATGCCAAACCACTGCTACCTAACTAAGAGCATCCTCTGCTCTCCCCACAGTGTGGAGACTACTAAAAAGCACAACTCGCAGAAGGAAGGTCCAACCCTTTATTACTTCTCCAATTCAATACATATTCAGAATCATAGATAGAACGATGGAGAAAAGATACACAATCACAAAATCCACCTACTACGAGTCTACAAAATCCAATCAGAATTGGTAATGGAGCTGATTCTCCAGTAAATGCAATTCTCAACAACCAAGCTTGGAATCCAGAAACAGAACAATAGATAGCAGCAGTTACATTACCCCTAGGCTAGAAAGACAACCAGAAACAAAAACAAAAAAAAAAAAAAAAACCATGCCAACAGAATAATCCTTTTTTGTCCTCTCAGGTAAGAAAAAACCAATCTCATCAAGCATGCTTAGCCTGGAACTCCTTCATGAAAGCAACCAACTTCTCCACACCTTCATACGGCATTGCATTGTAGATGCTAGCCCTCATCCCTCCCACCGACCTGTGTCCCTTCAGCTGAACCATCTTCTCCTTCACAGCCTCCTTGATGAACTCCGCTTCCAGTTCAGACTTCTCCATCGTGAATGGCACATTCATCAACGACCTCACCGACTTCTCGACAGGGTTCCTGTAGAAACCATTGCTCTCTTCGATCGCATTGTACAGCAACTCCCCTTTCTTCTTGTTCTTCTTCTCCACTTCCTCCAGCCCGCCCTGTGCCACCAGATCCTCGAAAACCAGCCCGCACATGTAGATCCCATAGCAGGGAGGCGTGTTGTACAGGGAATTGTTCTCAGCGTGGATCTTGTAATCCAGCATTACAGGGGTAATCCCCTGAGCATTTCCAATCAGATCTTTCCTGATGATCACAATGGTGACTCCAGATGGCCCCACATTCTTCTGCGCACCCGCGTAGATGATCCCGAATTTGGAGACATCGACGGGCTTGGAGCAGAAATTGGAGGACATGTCGGCAACCAAGATCCCATTTTTAGGGTTTGGGTAATCCTTGAACTCAACCCCGTGAATCGTCTCATTGGCGCATATATGCAAATACTTGGCGCCCGAGCTCTGCTCTAGGGTATCAAAAGAAGGAATGCTGGTGTACTTATCCGATTTACCTGACCAGATCAGCTTCGGCTTGCAGTACTTCTGGGACTCCTTGTACGCCTTGTCGCCCCAAGATCCGGTGACCACGAAATCGACGGAGTCGTCAGGGGAGCAGAGGTTGAGCGGGATGGCGGCGAACTGGGTGGTGGCGCCGCCTTGGAGGAAGAGGACGGAGTAATCCTCGGGGATGTTCAAAAGGGAGCGGAGATCCGATTCGGCCTTCTGGATGATGGAGAGGAACTCTTTCCCCCTGTGGCTCATCTCCATGACGCTCATCCCAGATCCGCGCCAGTTGTAGAGCTCGGATTCGGCCTTCTTGAGGACGTTGGCCGGCAGGGTCGCGGGTCCGGCGGCGAAATTGAATATGCGCTCTTCTCCGACGTGGGCTGGGATCGGGGAGGCGGCGGCGGTGGTGGCGCATCTTAGGGAAAGAGGCTTGATTTTGGGGGAGGAGGCGGCGGAGGGGCGGAGGTGGTTGTTGGTTCCGGCGGCGCCGCGGTGGTTGTGGTGTGGGTTTTGGAGGAGAAGGGAGTAGTTGTTGGAAGATGCGAGCTTTGAGGCCATGGTGGGTTTGGGAGAAAGAGCAGTGAGGAAGAAGAGAAAAGGAAGTTGGAGTTTTCTGATTCGCTTTTGTATATTTGATCTGACTGCGAGAGAATCAGATCGTTCGTGATGTATATATAAATTATTATTTGATTTTTGTTTTGTTGTTTAAGACTTTAAATGGGGTAGGTGAAGACGAAACGTCGTCGTATGGGGTTTGGGGGATCTGATTGGACGACGTGTATTTTGTCCTGGTTGGTGCTCGTGGCGGCGCCACATTTAAGTGAAATTGGTCAGAAACGGTCATTTAGCTTTGCCCAAGGTTTGTTAAACCGGTTTGTCCGGTTTAGCAAGTGGAATGGTATGACCGGTGGTACATACCGATTTGTGCCGGTTCATGCCGGTTAATATTACAAATAATTTATAAATACTCATATTTAAGCACGACATTTAACGTCAATATTTAAATATTTGTACTTGAATCCAACAAATAACAACAACATTTAACTTTTTAACACATAAAATAAATAATAAATTACTTTTTATCAAATAAATTCACTAATATAAGATCATTTTACTTGGAGATTCGTATATCGATCATGCCAGTCATACCGTTTTATGACCGGTACAAGTTGAACCAGATTCAACCAGTGGTACGCCGGCCGACGTGACAACCACGGCTTTGCCCTTTGTACAAAATGATCATAAGACTTATATTTTTTTTACCAAATAACCATAATATTGCTTTCAATTTGTAAGAAAAATGTCACCTCTGTTCATCTCCATCAAAACCCTAACAGAATATTATTAATCACCGGCAATCCATTGATATCAATTGAGAACTCTATTTCAGTTGTTTTGGTGATCACTTGTTAAGGGCAAAAATAACCAGTAATCCAATAAGACAGAATAGTTATGAAAATAAGGATTCTATAAAAACTCAACCTGGTATACAGTTTGATTAGATCTAAAATCCTTTTTTATACAGAATGATGCATAGCAGAAAACAAAAAGTGTGCCTGGGATGGGATTCTATTGAATACGAATGCTGCCCAAATCATTGGAACTGGCTAAGTTGAGATATCACCTTTGTGTTCTCGGACTGAAGGACAACGCTTTCTTCCGCCACAATCCATCCGTTGACGACGACGCAAGAATTCGAGTTTGAACAGCTCTGACAAGTAAAACACAATAATATTAAGGCGTAAAGTTTTCGCAAGATTCAGATGCAATAGCCGTATAAACCACAAGATCATTCTCCCATTTTCCCAGAGTTGCCGATTGAACTTAAGTGATTAGTGATCTATCATTCTATCCAAGTCAAGGTAAGCCAAACCCATCAGAGAGAACCTTGTCATCTAATGATGGGGGGAAAGGAGAAACTGACCTTGGCACACGTATAGACAAGTAGAGTCAACCAATCCCAGTTCTCTAATGCATGTCTTAGCTGGTCATCAGCAGCTTCTTGCAGAAAATAGATTACCGTTGGCATCAGCTGCATCTCATAAAATCTTGAACCACAACAAAGCTTGCATCCGCTGACATCCGCTACCTCTTGGGTAGCGACAAGTGCCTTTCCTCCATAGGAGTACCTGACAGAAATTTGGTTCTTAGAGTTTGAAATAAATTAAAATGGAGCCGCGTTCTGGATTCTAGTAAGCCTACCTGAAACACTGCTCTGGGTTTGCATCCAATTGCTTCTTGAACTTGAGGTAAGTTCTGTCGGCATTTAAAGCTGCATCATACTCGTAAGCTTCGGGTGCCCATGTTTCTTTATCGCTATCATCATCACCACCATCAGCATTTTGCTTCTCCTTGATGGAAAGTGAAGAGTAATTCGAAGATAGAGAGACAACAGCATTTGCAGGTTTATGCTCCTGAGTATACATGTAAAAGCAAGGAGCCACTACAAACATTGCAGAAGCACCATACTAGAGATATTAGACAACAATTTCTTCTCTTTTTTTCTTTTAGGAAACAAAATTTGTACCAGATCTGAAAAACTTTACCTGGACTTTCCTTGTCAACCAGTCTGGTTCCTGGAGTCGAAGGAAGATAATTTTGAACTGTCCCTGACCGCTTGTTCCGGCATTCTTTCTTGGAAACGGAATTCAAGGACGTTCCAGCTTCTAAAAGAGCTCTACCAAGAGCTTCCAGATCCATATCTTCGTCGTCATCATCATCATCGTCGAACCCATCAAACCAACTGGCCTTTGAATCTGAGATGGAAGGTGTAGTATTTGAAGGCAATGTTTTCACAGGAGTGCTTTCACTCACTTCTCTTACATCATCTAGTCTCTGGACACGAAAAGCTCGCCAGCTGCAAATTCATCAGAAACACATTAGAGAGAGAACCAAAGAGTTAAAAGAGGGGGGGAGGGGGGGGGGGGGGGGGGGGGGGGGGGGGGAATCCGTTAAGTATAGAACATAGCAAAAAAAGAAAGGGATAAGCAGAACAAAATGAGGTTCCAAGAACCTATCAGGACTTGTGCCGCATCCAGGCATTATACAACCAAAGATCAAAAGAAAACGTTCTTCAATCTTCAAGGATCCGGTAGAAACTGGAGCATAAACCTAAATACAATTAAACCTAATCAGGAAAATAGCATATGCTCATCCACAAAATTCTCCATTTTTATGAGAGAAGCTAAAAGAGTTAGTTTCTCGAGCTGACAACCTGTGCAACCAGACATAGGTGCCCTCCACATTTGAGACACTTGAGCAGATCCGGCGGTAGAGACTCTCTGGGGAAAGGCCAATCCTGTTAAGGCCAAAAAATCAAAACAAGAAAGCATTCAACAAACATTTGGGGGGAATAGAATCATCATCATTCTTAACATGAAAAGAGCAACAACCACTCACAGGAAGTCCACCAATTTTGGTTGTGTAATGATCAGCTGCTTCACGACTATCATCGGCCCATGGTCCAGCCATGCCTAGCAGGACTCTCTCCATCTATTAACCCCCTTTGAATGAACTAGAGAGAAGAAATAAGATTCAACGTCACTTCAAGCTCCAAGAAACCATGAACATCATATTGAGTGTACTATCTTTCTGTTCATGTAAACCACTCAAGACTAGCACTTTTAAATTACCCACCAAAAAAAATGAGGTAAGCTAACTCCGTCCCAGAAATTAGGATTCTCCCAACATCTACTGACATCAGAGGCCAGGAAACCAGGTATCACAATGAAGGGGGATAAAGGGAGATTGAGTCACCAAATAAAAATACAGAGGTCGATATGAAATTCCAGTTTGAAACTGGAACGTAGAACGGTAAGGTTGGCAAAATACCTTGGCTGCGGCGCTACTTTAGCGGCGAAATTGATTTCCGTATCAAGCTCGATCGCTACTGGCGATGCTTTCCCCGGATACACGGCAGTGGAGGTATCAACGGAGGTCAGAGAGGCCCCCCAAGTCCGGCTGCTCAACTTCCGAAGAACGTGTTACTGCAGTGCTGCTGACCGCCCGGCAGGCTGAGAGGCGGCGGCTACTTCCCGATCCTTTACCTTTCTCTTCCAGTTCCAATTTCCAGAGCAAGGCCGCCAAAATCTACTCTCCCATGCTGGGCCTTCTTCTCAACCAGACCCATCGGCAATGAACTGCTGCACCTGGTCCTCTCCCATCGGCTGGCCCAAAACCAATCAAACAATAATTAGAGAATCTAAAATAATTGTCCATTCAAGGGGATGTAGCTCAGATGGTAGAGCGCTCGCTTAGCATGCGAGAGGTACGGGGATCGATACCCCGCATCTCCACTATTTTGTATCATTTTGTACATATTGTTTTGCGGTGTTTCATAAGAGGCGAGAAATTTTCGCTAGAAAATGGTGATTTATTTTGTATCATTTTGAGAGGATGTAGCTCAGATTGAAGGGGATGTAGCTCAGATGGTAGAGCGCTCGCTTAGCATGCGAGAGGTACGGGGATCGATACCCCGCATCTCCACTATTTCGTATCATTTTGTACATATTTTTTTGCGGTGTTCCATCAGAGGCGAGAAATTTTCGCTAGAAAATGTCGATTCTTTCCCTACAGCCCACAGTTATTTTGTTTTGCCGGGAAAACTACAAACCACAAAAGACATTGAGGACACAAGGAGAACAAATTGATTTTTTCAACGATGATTCTTTCCCCAGGCCACAGTTATTTTGTTTTGCCGGGAAAACTACAAACCACAAAAGTCATTGAGGACACAAGGAGAACAAATTGATTTTTTCAACGATGGTGTTGCTACCCGTTCTGGTGGACAAGAACTCGTCGCGTGAATGCAATGGTGATTGGTGATGTTAATCTTGCGAAAGGAACCTAAATCGACGATGGCGGTTTGTATTGTAAATGGTGGCGACATGAAACTGTACTAATTCCAGTGAAGAAGATGAGCTTGGACGATGTTACTCTAACCCTCTCTCATTTGGCAGGTAATTGGATATTTGGAGAAACAAATAGGGAGTTTTTTATACAATTGAATGATGATTGAATACTCTCATAGAACCCCAAATCAATTGAATAATGATTTAGAACACCAAGCACCACATATTGTTTTGCGGTGTTCCATCAGAGGCGAGAAATTTTTGCTAGAAAATGCCGATTCTTTCCGTACAGCCCACAGTTATTTTGTTTTGCCGGGGAAACTGCAAACCACAAAAGTCATTGAGGACACAAGGAGAATAAATTGATTTTTTCAACGATGGTGTTGCTACCCATTATGGTGGACAAGAACTCGTCGCGTGAATGCAATGGTGATTGGTGATGTTAATCTTGTGAAAGGAACCTAAATCGACGATGGTGGTTTGTATTGTAAATGGTGGCGACATGAAACTGTACTGATTCCAGTGAAGAAGATGAGTTTGGACGATGTTACTCTTACCCTCTTTCATTTGGCAGGTAATTGGATGTTTGGAGAAACAAATAGGGAGTGTTTTTTTATACAATTGAATGATGATTGAATACTCTCATAGAACCCCAAATCAATTGAATAATGATTTAGAACACCAAGCACCACTTAGAACTCTTGACCATTTCTTTCTGCGTTTTAGTAGAGGAACAAACTGAAGCATAAACTTCTCGTCGAGTTAAATCAATGGCAATTGTTAATTGCATGCCGCATAAATCCAACAACCCAGTTCTACACCCAACGTAAACATTAACGAGTCGTTTGCTTCATGGATATGAAATATGAGGGTTTTGGTAAAACTTGGATTTTGGAAAACCATGGATATATGATGGATTTGGTGGCATCATGGATTTGAACAAGTATATTGTTTGCTTGTTGGATTTGATAATTGATTTTATTTGATTAGATTTGTGGATATGAAACACAAATTACCTTATTACCCTTATTTTATTGTATTTCCATTAAAAACAAATCTAATGCATACAAAGTAACTGAACTTCTACTTTGTTAACTTATTCAACTACAAATATAGGAATGCATAATAGTTTGGACATGACACAACTCCCCAATTTTTGAATCCAACTATCGATCAAGCAATAATGCACAATATGAGCATAAAGTGTTAGAAATATCAATAGAGGAGTAAAAACAAGACTCAGTAGGCGAAGATGTGAAATTCAACCACAATTGAAATTTCTTGATTTTTTGGTCAAACTCGAGCACCGCCCTTAATCGAAAATTTCATCATGAAATACACAATTTATGCGAGAAATTGATGTTAAACAAGCCCAAAAAGAGAAAGAGGCAAGGAGAAACAAACATGAGAGTCCCTTTATCATTCATTGCTCTATATGAAAAACCGTGAACGGAGAGTTGGAGGGTGCCAACGAGGAAAAAGGAACGGTAGATTAGTCATTAGGTAAAATAAGTGGGGATAAACTAGTAAAATGACATCATGGATTTAAATCCATCACCCAATTCCCACCTCCATAGGTGGAACTTCCAAGTCTGTGGGTTCTACAGATTTGGACCTCCAAACTCTATGGGCCCCACGGATTTACTCCCTCCAATTCCATCAAGCAAACAATGGACTTTTGTTAAAGTCCATGATAAATGCAAGTCCATCACCAAATCCATCAACAAAACCTTGAAGCAACCGACCCGTAAATATTTAAGTCTCACCATAACTAAAAACCTCTCAGATCCCAGTAATCGATCACATATTGCATATAGTGACACATCAACTTCATCAGTTTCGCAATCATGTAGGTAAATTTGTCATTTCATCTCGTATAAATCATTGGGATGAAAAATTAACACATACCTGGATTTTAGACACTAGTGCATCAGACCATATAGCATGCTCTGCATCCTGGGAGCGGTTACGGAGATTACATAAAAGTAGCAATCACTATGGTTACTAAATAAATTGTATTAATAAATTATATTTTAGGTAGTTACAAAAATCTATTAATTACAATTCTCTCTCTTTCTCTCACTTCCGTAATCTCCAGCCAGATCTCCTTTCCTTATTTTCTCAATCTTTCTGCAAAAGAAAAAAAAACACGAAATTCCTATCAATCCATTAGACAACCACTACCACTTTGAAAAACATCAATACCATTGCATAAATAAATCTATACCATTACACGAAAACTACCAATATAAATCTATAACATTTCACAAAAACCAATACCATCGCAGATTTAATCAATACCAATACATGCAAATTAATACCATTACATGATAATCAATACCAATGCGATAAAAACAATACAAATGCAACAAAATCAATACCAATGCGACAAAAACAATACCATTGAGGCGAGAGGGCCGGAGATAAAGTGATGGCCAGCGTTATCGATTGCTTTGAGGATCTATGCGATCCCGTACTCGCCCAGGTCGCTTGTCCATCAGCTCCTCCCCGTTGCTGAGTAGAGAGAGAGTGTGTTTGTGTGTGTGTGTGTGTGTGTGTGTGAGAGAGAGAGAGGGGAGGGAGGGTCATGGGGTGGGTGGGGTGGGACCGGGGGGGGGGGGGGGATAGGGAGGGGTTTGAGGGTGGGAAGGGGATGGATAGGGTGGAAGTAGGGAGCAGGGTTGGAGGAGTAAGAGAGGGAGGGACAACCGAGGAGTGGATGAGGGAGGATGGAAGAGGTGGCCGGCGAGAGTAGCGGAGTCCTTCAACGGCGAGTTTGGCTGGAAGGAGGAGAGAGTAGAATTAGAGTTTGTGTATATATAGAATAATTTAGTGTGGTTTCTTTTTTGTTTCCAAAATAATCCTCGAGCAATCATAATCGTGAGATTAAAAAAAATAGGAAAAAGAAAAAAAATGGATGGTGGCTACTAAAATTGTAGTTGCCACCCTAACGCATTCCTCTACATCCCTCTTGGTTAATAGTCTTCCTTTGTTTTTTTTTCTTTCACAATGTGATTCTTATGCCTAGCTTTACCTTCAATCTAGTATCAATAAGCAAATTGACACATGAACTCCATGTTTTACTTCGTTTCCAATCTACATTTGTCATATCCAGGATCTTATCACCACCAAGATTGATGTAGTGGAAGAAAATAAGGAATTCTTTCACTTCATTCCACTAAAACATAACTCCAATCCTTATATTTGATTAATTGCTTCTATTTAGAACTTTGAACGTCAGAAGATTGTCTAATGGCACTGGCAATCAGGACATCCCAACACTAGTAGATCTCAACTTATCAACAAGTGTAATTCCAGTATTCCTTTTGAACAAGTTAAACATTGTGAGCACTGTCACCTATATATACAGGGAATACTTCCATTCCTTTTCACCATTAGTAATCTTCATATGTTCTTTTTATATTATCCATGTGGAGATTTAGGGCCTTTTTCCACTGAATCTCAAGATGGGTTTTCATACTTTCTCACAATTGTTGATCTCCGTTCTAGGATTGTTTGGATATACCTTATAAAAAAACAAATATGAAGCTATGAATCTTTTAATTCGCTTTTGTTTTATGATTCATAACCAGTTCTCAAAGTCTCTTAGAACCATAAGAAGTTATAAGGAGAATGAATTTTACATGTGTGATTCATATTTGGAGAAAGGCATTGAACATAAAATATTTTGTGTTTATACAATACACCTTAAAAAAATGGGAGGTTAGAGAGAAGGCACCAACATATTTTAAATGTTGCACTAGCTTTGAGGTTTCATTCAGGTGTGTACCTCTTAATTTTTTGGAGTGATTGTGTGATTCATTCTATCTACCTGATTAACAAATTACCAACACCAATTTTGCACAGTAAATCACCCTATGAAGTTTTGTACAAAGTACTGCATTTCCTGTGCCATCTTTGGGTGTTTGGATGTTTAGCCTATGTCATTACAAACTCACACGAAAGGACTAAGTTGGATGCCGGAGCAAGGCAATGCATCTTCTTAGGAATTCATGTTGGCGTAAAATGATATAAATTGTTTGATCTTAACTCTTGCCAATTCCTTGTTTCTAGAGATATGTTTTATGAAGATATAATTTCATTTAAAACTTCACGTGTGTATCTCTTATTTTTATGACGTGATTTTGTGATCCATTATGTCTATCTGATTATCAAATCAATAACACCAGTTCTACACATAAATAACTCTACAATTTTTTGACAAATTAAGTACCACCTTCCCTATGTCATCTTAGAGTGTTTGGATGTTTAGCCTATGTTATTACAAACTCACAGAAATTCACTAAGTTGGATGCTAGAGCAAGGCGGTGCATCTTCTTAGGAATTCATGTTATCGTAAAAGGATATAAATTATTTGATCTCAACTCTCACCAATTTATTGTTTTCCGAAATATCATATTTTATGAAGATATATTTCCTTTCGAAACTTCAGGCTCGTACCTCTTAATTTTCTGGAGTGATTTGTGATTCATTCTATCTACATGATTCTTAATTTTCTCGAGTGAATGTGTGATTCATTCTATCAACCTAATTAAAAAATTACTAACACTTGTTCTACACAATAAATCATCCTACAGAGTTTTGTACAAAGTATCACTTTTCCTATGCCATCTTGTGGTGTTTGGATGTGTAGCCTATGTCATTACAAACTCATAGGAAATGACTAACTTGGATGCTAAAGCAAGGCAATGCATCTTCTTAGGAATTCATGTTAGCATAAAAGGATATAAATTGTTTGATCTCATCTCTTTCTGATCCCTTATTTCCAGAGATGTCTTTTTTTATGAAGATATATTTCCATTCGAAATTTCTAATATGAACATGACAAGTGAATCTGAACAAACTACACATGGTCTAGTTTTTCCTACTCTTAACACTTCTCATGATATTACTATTCCTCTTCAACATAGAAATTCTATACATGTCAGTAGTCCTTATGATAGAAGTTCTTCCAATTTTAGTACTCCTCTTCCAAGTATTGCATCAAGTTCCAGATCAAGCCCTTCTGATAGCATTCCTCATGACAATAGTCATCCATCTTCCCGTCAATCTAAGTCTGCTAGTAGGTCTGATGCACCATGTAATCAAGATATGACTAATGAATATGGTGATATGAATGACACTGGAAGTTATGATGATTATTTAGAAGAAGTAGAAAAGCCTAAATGGAACTTTTGGGAGAACATGACGAAGAGCCACAACTACAAAAAGACCATATAGACAGATTTTCCTGCTAGATTGCATGATTGCTACGACATTGTGACTAAGTATTCTATATAAAAATGTATAAGATATGATCTCCTTACTTCTCAAGGTAAAAAGTATGTCATCAACATTATGAGTGAATTCAATACTTCTGCTTATGAAGAGGCCAACAAGGGTGAGTGTTAGGTAAGAGCTATGAATGAAGAGTTAGAAACCTTATTAGAAAATCAAACATGGGACATTGTCATCTTGCCTCATGGTAAAAAGGATATTGTATGCAAATGAGTTTTCAAAGTGAAACTAAAAACTAAACGACATTGTTAAGAGACAGAGAGCAAATTGGTATCAAATGGCTTTCAAATTTATGGAGTAGACTTTTTAGACACTTTATTGTCAGTGGCTAATAATAACTAAGTGAAAAAAATTGTTGGCAGTGGCATCTCCAAAAGAAGTAGAATCTACATCAAACGAATATCAATGAATTTATTCATGTGAACTTAAAAGAAGAAGAAGTGTATATGCATATTCCATCAGGGTTTCTTATTGAGGGTAGTGCAAATGGATTGCCCTACAAACTGAATAAATCATTGTATGACTTAAAATGACCCGTAGAAAATGATTTTCCAAGCTTACTAATACTCTTTAGAATAATGGTTTTGCTCAATCCTTAAATGGGATTTCTAATCAAAGATCTTTGTGAATACAAATACTTATTAGGATTGAAGATCATAAGGAATGCAATTGGAATAGTAGGATGCCAAAAGAAGTATTGTATGGATATACTTACAGATACATGCTACATAGCATCCAAGAGTTGCAAGAGTCCCATTGAATGTAAAGTGAAGTTTAGTGTAAGATAAGGAAAGCAACTTGATTTTCTACAAGTTATAAACGACTAGTGGGAGGACTAAATTATCCAACAGTTACAAGGCCATATAGAATATATGTTGTAAAACAACTATGCAGTAACTGTCTCAACCAAGAGATATGCATCTACAAGCAACATTCAGAGTATTGAGATATTCAAAGGCAGCACCAAGGCAAGGTTTATGTTTCAAGTCTAACACATATATGGTGATTGAAGCATACGACGATGCTAATTGGGTTGCTTGTCCTAGTACTAGGAGATCTATTTCTGGTTTTGTAGATTTCTGGGAGGTTCCATGATTACTTGGATAGAAGAGAAACAAACAACCTTTTCCAGTTCATCCTCTAAAGCAAATCACAAAGCTCTTGCTCATTTGGTAGGTGAATTTCAATGGTTGCAACTTGCAAAGTATACTTAAAGAGTTGACTGTTATGTTACCAACTCCAGTTAATGTGTTCTATGAGAATATGTATGCAAATCAAATAGAAGAAAATCAAGTATATCGAGAAAGGACTAACACACATCAAGACTTATGTTTATGTCACCAGGGAGGGAAATTCATGTTTTATTAAGCTCAATTATATCAGGAGTGAAAACCAAATTACAGACTTGTTCACTAAAGGTCTTACTCATTATCGCATTGCCTATTTGTTGGACAAGCTAAGTTAGGCGTAATGAATATACACGCCAACTTGTGGGTGATATTGAGAATGGAAGGATTCGTTAATCTGAGTGCTGGAGAACAGGAAGTGCATGAACAAAACCCAAGATGAAGAGGCACAAATAAACCTTATCAGCTGAAGCCCAAAACACCTCTTCGATTGAAGACGATTTGTTCTATGAGAAAAGTTTAGAGCCTTCGTCCAAGACACACCATTTTATTTAGTTGTTTAAAAATATTAGTGATGTTAGTTTATTCTCGTCCTTTCTTATTTGTTATGGGTCATGATAAACATTAGTTACCGAAGTAAACAGTGAATTTAGAACTGGTACATATACATAGCAACCCATCTAAAAGTAGCAGAGGATTCTTCTTCCATTTTCTATTCTTCTCCTTCAAGTTTTCTTCTACCTCGCCTTACGGTCACACACGAGATGCACAAGCTGGCGAGGTTCAACCCTCAACAACCATAACGAGTGTAGAGCGTTCTAGAAGATCCCGGAAGCTTATGGAATAGTATGGAAGAACATGGAAGAGTAGGGAGACTTGTAGGTATTTCCCTAGAGAGTTCTAGAATGTAGAGATTTGTATAGAGTATTCTAGAGACTTAATCTTAGTCATAGAATTAGATAGATCCTAGCCATCCATTTTGGAGGTGAGGTCTATATAAGGAACACCTCTTCCTCATTTGTAATAATCCAAAAACATTGAGAGCAATACTTTTCTAGAGAGAGTTCCTCTAATAAATGAGCGTGAGTAAGTGTGCGCGAAGGATGACTTAGCTCTCTAACGCCACTTGAGTGCTAAGGTCGTACGACAAGGTTTGGTTTGTGTCATTTAATAAAGAACATGGTTCGTGCTTGCAATGAAGGAAGAGCTTTGACAAGATGGCGCGAGGATCTAAAATTCAAAATAATGAAGGGATCATGTGAAGAACCCAATCCAAGTAATGGAGAGGTGTGCAAGACCTTGCCTCGACAATGGAAGCTATCAAGTCCCTTGTGAGTATCAGAGGAAAGATGAGCAAGAGGCATTCAATGATAATGGTGAGAGAGACCATGAAGACTACTCCAATGGGGTAAAGAGGACACAACAACTAGGACTCAAACAAAGGAGGTAAGGGAAGAATGAATGATAAATCTATTTCTTGATTTCTTTGCGAAGGTCTGCATCATGTAACAGATTACTCGAAGAGGAGTAATTTGGCCGTGATGCTCGTGGAAGAGAGCTCGAAAGAGGAGGAGGACGAGGAGGCGACAAGAGTGGAGTACCGAACTTCGAAGTTGGGTGGCCCATAATTGTTAGGCGCAATGTAGGGGAAGGAAGACCCTCCTCTTATCGAGAAAAAGGACAATGCTTCATGGAGGCGAAGCTCAACAAGGAAAAGATGAAGACTTTGGTGGACATATGGGTCATCAACAACTTTCTCGATGTGGATGAAGCATGGAGGTCTAGTATCCTGTACGACAAGAGGAGAGCGTGGCTGAAGGTGGTGAATTTGGAGGCCACACTAACACACGGAGTAGCCCGCAAGGTGCGGATCACCCTTGGCGAATGGGTGGAAAGATAAACTTTCATGTGGTGTCAATGGATGATTATCCGATCGTCATCGCCATTGACTTTTTGGACGAGAAGAAGGCTTGTCTGATTCCCTTTGAAAATTAAATGCTCATCGTTGAAGGAGGGAAGCGCTGTACGGTGCCACTATTGAGAGAGGCACACAGATCTTGCAAGGTTTGCTCAACAATGCGAGCCAAGACAACTGAAGTGAGGACCAAGATAAAACGGGTGGGATGCTCAAAGACTCGATAGAAGAAGGCAGAGGCGAAGAGTGCACTGCATCTTGGGGCCATGAGATTCATGGCCGAGCAAGGACCACCCTTTGGCTCGCCATCATGCACATCATAACCATAACGTCTGCGATTTTAGAGCAAAGGGTTCCCACGACGAAATTGTTATATCTTGTGAGTTGTTAGTAAGCAGTAAGCCCAATCAGATATCTGGGCTTACTTAATGACCAGAGGCAGACCATAGTTCATAGGCTACTGTCGTGAAGCCCAATAATAATCCAGTCATCTTCTCTCTTTCCATTCCCATCATCCCCAACCGTATCCGGATTCTGGAGTCGGCTTCAGTCCAGCGCTCCCCCCGTAGAGTTCCCAGGTTTGCTTTCTTCCGCTCTTATCATTTCCCCTGCTTTCCCTGTGATTTCCCCGTGTTTGGTTTCCGAGAAACTAGACGATAATGAAGGCAAACTCACTTCTCCCCTTGTTCTGAGTTTTGGGTTTCCTCTGGGAATTTTCAGTACCTTGAAACCTGTACTCTACTGACAGAAAGAACTAAACTTTAACATAGTAATCCATTTTCATTAATGCTCTTATACTGTAGGATTCTCGCTGAGTCAAATGAATAGCTTTTTTTCAGCAGAAGAATTAGAGCATGAATTAAGTCCAGGGTTTAGGGTTTTGAGCACCACTTGTTGTCCTGATTCTTCCCCTGTTTCAGTTTTGGAATATTGACCTGTATTTTAGGAGCTTTTATTGGGAATCTGGAAACTGGAATCGCAGCTTATTTGCTTTTTTTGCGTGAACCATTGAATCTCTATATGCTTTCTGTTACCGCATATTTTTGCTTCTACTATCTGAGTTGTTTTTTTCTTAACAGTGAGTTAAGTGGATCAGACTTAGTTGCTCAGTATATCTACTTGTTCAAGCCGCAGAAAGCATATCTTTGAACAAACTTAACGTAGAAGACGGGGCTTTTTGGTGAACTTAGTATTACAACTTGAAGGAAGGAGTAGTAGTCTTCTCCCATGAATTCCATCACACTACACTCCTCACTGGTTCTCCAGCCACCTTCATTCTTCTTCTCTTGCCGTAGCCAACTAAAACCTCTATCCATTCTCTCTTCAACTGAGATCCGCCGTTTCCATGCCATCCCTCGGCTGTCCATCTCGCCTTCATCGACTCCTAAGACCCCCTTTCTCTGTTGTCATTCATCATCAATCGGTGCAGCAATTCCTTCTGAGGAAGGAGCCATACCCGTGCTGACCTTCGAAGATTTCGTCGAGAAAGACTGGTCCTTTCTCGATTCAGAAGATGTACATCAAAACAACACCCGGATAATCTCTGCAGGGGGAATCACCGAGACGTCAAAGGTTTTGGTTTCGATGAGTTCGGAAGAATTTGTGGATCAACTGGTTGATACATCCCCTTGTGGTTTTCTGCTTCTTGTCCATGAATCACTCTTCACATTGGCTCTTGTGAAAGAGAAGTATGACGACAGGGTGAAATGCTGGCAAGGGGAACTGATACATCTTCCAGACAAATGGGCTTCCCTCGATGTTGTCTTCCTCTATTTCTTGCCAGCATTGCCGTCTAAGCTTGAGCAAGTTCTTGGGAAACTTGCCCGACATTGCTCACCTGGTAACCGCAAGTTCTTCATATCCTTGAATGCTTTCATCGTGACTTCTGATGCGGTGTGTTTGATCTCGTGCTGTTGTGTTTTGGATCTTGGGTAGGTGCGAGAGTGGTGATTAGCCATCCACAAGGGAGGGAAAAGCTGGAGCAGCAAAGGGGAGAGTATCAAGAGCTTATAGTTTCAGAGCTGCCCGATGAGATGTCTTTGCAGAAGGCTGCAGCTCTGCAATCGTTCGAGGTTGTGGAGTTTGTGGATGAGCCAGGGTTCTATCTTGCTGTTCTGCAATTTGCTGGCTCGACGGAGTCATAGCTGCAAAGTGCAGTAGCTTTGTTGTATTCTTTCTCTTTTTCTTAGTTTCCCTCACTGATTTCAGTGTGATGTTGGTTTAGCGAGTGGAAATGATCCCATATTTGTTGTCAATACTAAATTTTGATCCATATTTTGGATGGTTTAATAGTTAATACCAAGGATAAAGCATCATTTTCAACAATCTAACTCGTAAAAATGTGATACAGAATGATCTACATTGCTGATGTAACATTTATCTTCAAATAAACCATTTCGGATCATGATAATCATGTCGGAAACAATGTCATATTAATCGATGAGGACAAAATGTTGCGTAACTTGGTGTGTGAGTCAAAAAATTTAGGTCGACGAACACACTATAGAAATAACACTCAGCACTGCAACTTCCTCTTGAGAAATGGAAAACGGAAATGTCTCACAGGTCAAGGCCAAGAAATGCCTTCATAAATGGGTCAGACACAAAAGAGGAAATAAGCAGCAGCTGCTGAATCTCAGTCAGGAAACCTCCATTTTACCACCACACTTCGAATTATTCTCTCCATCCCTTGATATAACAAGAAAATCAGGGGGAAATGTAAGAAGGGAAAAAGGTAACACTCAGGGGACATATGCCGATGTCAATCAACTAAATAAAAATCTGCAGCTTGCTAAGAATTGGCATTTTTTTTTTCTCAAAGGAAGATTATTGTGTGCTCTGCAATACAAATCACTCTCATCAAACTTTTCAATAAACAAGAAGAAGCAGAAGAAGAACAGGGACTGCGAAAACCGTAAACAGCTACCCAAGCATCTTCCTTCCCACCCAAACCCGAAATCTCTATTCAAAAGAACGAAAACTTTATGCTGTTACTTGCGGCAAACAAATTGTACTCCTCCACAACTGTCTCCCCTCTTTTATTGTGTGCTGAATCTCGTTCCATTCGATCTGCTGCTGCAGCTGCTGAAACTTTCAAAGCGCCATCTCCAATGGCTCCACCATTGTTTGAAGGTGTCAGAGGCCATCCGAACTGGAACAAAGAGAAATCATTATTTCCTATATTCAGTTTGGCAAAGTTATCAATCTTCCCCCTTTGAGCCCTTCTCTCCTCGTGAGCTTCTTGTGAAAGAGTTTCTTGCACTCTGCAAGTCTGAGCCCGCTCCTCGATGGTCAAACCTGCTGCCTTGGAAACTGGTTCGTAAGCATGTTGAGGTGGACTCGGGTTAAAAACAGGAGTCGTTGTGACATGCTGCATTGGACTGTATGGTACACCAAAGCGTGAGTTTCCGTTGAGGCTGTAACCCATGGGACTGGCGTATAAATACTGGTTAGGATGATGGAACGCCATTGCTGGTGCAGCTGGCCAAGAAACCGGGTTTTGATGGTAGTAACCCATAGTTGAAGGAGCTTGGAATGCTGGATACTGTAAGTTATGGTTGTGCACTGGAGCATACATGCCCTGGAGGTGTTGAGAACCCATATTACTGCCACTGTGAACTCGATTATCAGTATTATGGGTAGACAGAGAATCTCCCGTAGGTGGAACTCCAGAGAACTTCATACCATTTACAGGCTGCCCATTTGTACCCAGTTTGTTCGGTTCATGACATTCGGGGAAACCATTCTGGATATATGGAGTTTCTCTTCCTTCTGATTGTTGGCTGGTATCTTCAGAGTCCGAAGTGGAAGATGATTCCAGATTCCCATGATTTGAAGAAGCTGTGATACTATCTCCTTCACTGAGACAAGAACTGTTATCAGAAATTGAGGTGTTAGCCGAGGAGCTAGAATTTGAAGTCCCATTAGATGTTGAGCCATTGGCAGGACACGAGTTGACTTCCTCATAAGAGCCAGAACCCTTCACTCCTTCCTTCGTCTTAGAAGTAGAATCTACAGCTTCATTCATTTTGCAGTCAGTTTCACCAGAATTGCTACTGCAAAACTTACCACCAGATGATGACTTGGAAAAGACACTGTCAGATGCTACTCCACCTTTCAAAGTCGATGATGACCTCAAGGTAAAATCACTATCTGAAATACTCCTAGGGTACTTCTTCTGAGATTCCATGGGCTCCCATACTTTCTTGGGATGATGAGGTGTCGAAGAATTTGCAGTGGGGCCCCCCTTGTTTTTGGGTCTTCCACAACCTTCACGTAAGTAATCCGCTTGACTGTGCTTGTTACCACGGTAGAATTGCTTCGGCATATCTGGTGCAGGTTCCAGCTTACATGAATGGAAATCGTATCTCTCACTAATCCTGTTGTTGGCACCATTGAACTTCTCACTGAACCTAAGACCAAAGTTTCTAGTATTGGACTTGGGACCACTACTAATCCTTGATTGTCTACTTGATCCATTGATGCTTCTTGTAGGGTTGTCAATAGGCCGACCACGCCTATCAGGCCACCGCAAAGATGAATCCAGCGGGACCTCTTTCCAACATTTCAATCTCCGGCGAGAAGATTTAGATTGCTCGATTGTGAACGAGCCACTACTCCCATCTTTCCCACTTATGACAACACCATCAAGACAATCATATGAATCATTTTGCTCCATGAAAGTGGTGCGCCCATTTGAGTACTGTTCTTCTGTATTAGGTGATCCAGGACTGGATACAGAATTATTATCACCTGCTTCACTTACCGAGTCCCTGCAGCTGGCACCATTATCGAGCTGCTCTTCACTGAATGTCAGTGATGACTCATCATCCTTAACTGCATCGAGAAGAAGAGGAACATCATTTGATCCACAACTCTGCTTGTCTTTATCTCTTTCTTTCCCTTTTAACCTCTCTTTTCTTCGAAGCTTCTTTTCTCTTTCTTTCAGTCTTCTTCTCTCCTTGCGCTCTTCTTCTTCGAGCTTTTCCTTCTCTTCTTCTTCAAGCAGTTTCATCTACATGGTGATATTAATGAAAATAAATCCAAATACAGTCACTTAAAAGAAGGTAACATTTCATAAGCAGAAAGAATAGATGAACGAGAACACATACCTGCTTTTCCAGGGTAATAATTTCTTTGCATGCAACATGAATTCGTTCTTCCAACAGGTTTAGTGCAAGGCAGACAAAAATGCTGTGGGCATTCTGGCGTGCAGTTCCTTCTCTGAAAGCCTTTTCAACCTGAAATAGCATCACATTGTTTGAGTTATGGAGCATCTTAACCGAGAATCATCTGCATGAGCCTCAAATTTCAAAAGCACACCACAACCAGATAGTCACTAAGGCACCATTTCATATTCATCTCAATTCAAAATCATATACATGAATTTTATCTTACCCAAAACAGCTCCATTCTTTGATTAGCTATGATCAAGAAACATCATACTACAATCTAGAGAGCCCAAGATAATCCTTCCTCAACAAACATCATTCATAGTTTACGATATACAACAGAACTATCAATCCAATACAACGTCTACGAAAAGAGAACGTCTACGAAAAGAGACCTCAGTAAACAATTATCATTCACATTTTGGACTCAGAGAAAGGAAAATAAATCATTATGCACACAATGTCACATGCCTGTTCCTTGAAAATAACAGTAGCAGCATCTAGAAGGAATTCTCTAGCAAGTTCAGGACTCTTCGCATGCTTTTGGGGACGGGAGCATTCTCCATCAAACTCATTTCCATCCTTCTCCATGGAGTCATCATCCTAGAAGAGTCAAAAATACAAGTAACGGCGGCTTAGTACTATCAGAAGAAGAAAATTTAACATGACCATAAAAGTTTCTTTAAAATCAAATAGTGTAATAAGGAAAGTAAGTGTTACGTGCCTCTTCTTCCTCAGCCTCTTCAGCATGTTCAAAAAATCTTCTGATGCTTTCACCTCTTGTGATCGTAACAAAACCATCACCAACTATTAACCTACAATGGACGCATTGTTGACCATTTAATGCATGAGCTTTTACAGAAAGCTCAGTGCATCGGCCATCCATTTTCCAAGCCCTTAAAGTGATAAAGCATGCTGTCAAATCACCAAGATCCAATCCATTGACTTGCACACTCTCACTCATGCCTACATTTTCAAATTCTAGAATATCAGACTTCCCTTCTCCTGTTCCAACAGCCCATTCGAAGTGATGATACATCCCAACAGAATCAGCAAAAGTTTGGTGCCAATCAGCTTGTACCATATCATCCGACACCTGAGCAAATAGTGAACGCGATACTCATATTATCAACCCGCATAATCAAGATCTTTGGCAGGTTATTGCACACAATAAACCACAACAAAAAATGGTGAATATCACTACCTCATATTGGAAAGCAGTATCCGCAACACAGAACCAAGTAGTGCAGCGCTGTTCTCTCCGCATACGCTTCAGCTCCTTTAGCTCTTTGAATTCTCGGATAACATTCCTCCTACAGTCTCTACAGAATCTCTTGCTGTCAAACCTGTAATAAGGATGAGGGTAAAGTTAAAACAGGAAACATTTGTATCCATTGACAGTAGGCAGAATCAGAGCAATGAGCATGAAGGGGTATAGAACATTAAAGCTGGAGCAAGTATGCAAGTAACTCCTCCATCCCTCAATGAAGCCAAAAGAACAAGTAAAGCTGGAAAGGCAGTTGTGATGGTCTGGGGGACCAGTGAAGTTGGGTCAGATTCAGATGTCAATACTGCTGTATCCTTCGGGTTTTTTTTTCTTCTTTCCCTTGACTACTTATTTTAAAAAAAGTAGTAACAGTAACCCCATTTCATAACATCTACGGGGGAGAGTCCAGCCCATTGAGATGACTAGCCCTCTACTTGCTACTGCTTGTTGCAATCGGCACGAGACAAGTTATACTCATGTTATTAGCTATACAGCAGAAATCCCTGCAAATGATTGTCCGTATTCCGTTTGATATTTCTTTTTTTCAACGAACTTTTTATGTTTCTTTTGATTTCTTTAGAACAGAAAAACAAGCTGCTCATTATTCCCCGTATCTTACCATTCACGACTTCATAATTGCATTCAGCACTCTCCTCAGTTTGGTTTCTCTTTGACAAATGAGAACTACAAGATACCTCTACTGATCAAAGATTCAAGCAAACAATATCACTAATCTCTAAAACTTCCCTTAATATTTTTCTTCTATTCACACTTTTCTTCTAGAATGTAACTGTGGAAGTCAAACAAAGCTGGACTCACTCAACTAGCTTCACTAACTATTCCCTTTTCTAATCCAACTTGGTGGTCACGAGAATAAGAAATTGC